TGGCACAGGACAGAGCGGTGTTTAGGGCTGTTGTACATAGGGTCGCTATGAGTCGCAGGCGACTCGACGGCACATAACAACAACAACAACAACAACAACTAATCAATCTATTCAGTGAGGAAATAGAGTTCTTAAGTAAGTGGCTCTGGGACAGTGGATTTCCTCATGCACAAAAAACAAACAGGACCCACGCCTCCCTTCACTCAGCAAAGTTAAAAATTAATTTACAACCCAACTGTGAAAATCAGAAATACAAAATTCTCAGAAGAAAGTGCAGGTTCAACACTGTCAAGCCTCGTTTTCAACAATGGAATAACTAATACAGCAAAATGAAAACAGCAAAAATCCCAAAATAAAGGGAAATTTACAAAAATGAAAACCTTAAAAAAAAAAAAACAAAACCTTTTCTCACTGTTGGGTGCTGTCAGGTCGAATAGGAACCTATGCACAAGAGATCTGAACCTTGTCCAATTCTGTGCCATGCTCACCCTTCCTTACATACTAGAGCCCATTGGGGTAGTCACTGTGTCAGTCCACCTGGTCGAGAGTCTTCCTCTCCTTTTCTGACCCTCTGCCTCTGCGAGTATCATGTCCCTCTCCAAAGAACAGCCCCTCCTAGAAACATGCCCAAAGTATGTGAGCCAAAACTTTATCACAAGAGCACTCCAGCTGCACCCTTTCCAAGACATATCTGTTTGTTCTTTGACAGCCCATGAGATGTTCAGTGCTCTTCTCCACCACCACAGCTCAAACGCATCAATTCTTCTGTCTTCCTTATTCACTGTCCAGCTCTCAAAAAAACTTTTTCATCAAAAAGACAAGCTAGAGGAAGGATATCTTTGGAAACTGTGTATCTGAATAAAAAATAAAACTTTAAAATAACAAAGACAATGGCCCAGTCAGAAAAGGACTAAAACATACGTTCCAGCAAAGAAGACAACCAAATGACCCCCATCACATGCAAAGATGTCCAACATCACTCGCTATCAAACTCAGAATCATACCTCGCAGCCTATACCACTCCTACAGGGTGGAGCTCTGCTGGACTAATAATGCTAAGAAGCTTTGCTGCCAGTCCAAGGGTGCGTCTTTCAAATCCACCAGCTGCTTCGCGGGACAAAGCCAGCCAATGAAAACTGCCTCACTGCCTCTGAAAACCCACTCAAGGGTCAGCTACAGGTCGGTTCCAACTCAACAGTACACAACAGCACAGGACACAGCAGAACTGCCTCATGGGAGGACCAAGGCTGTCATCCCCACAGAAGCAAGGCCGTCACACCCTCCCTTGGAGCACCTGGTGGGATCAAATGGGCAAACTCAGTTAGCAGCCACCATTTAACCACTGCACCACCATGGCTCCTCATTAGCCGTCAAAGAGATGCAAATCAAATCCACAACAACATCTCTCTCACCAGCATGCCAAATAGACAGACAGACAGAAGTAATGTTGGCTAGAGGGGGAGAAATTTGAAGAATTTATCTAGGTGGAGAAATTGTTCATTGTTACTGAGGATACAAAAATGGTACAGCCACTGTGGTTAATCGTCCTGAGAAACCTAAAACAGAACTACAAGACTCAGTGACTCCACTCAGAAACAGAAACCCAAAAAGCAGCTGGACACCAATGTTCCCTGCAGCAATATTCACAATTCAAAGATGGTGTAAACAAGCTACATGTCCATCAATGGGGATGAACGAGGAAACCCGATACAGCACGCACAGAGAACGGGTCACAGCTCAACACACAGGATCACTTGAGAGTCCAATGAATGCTGCCATAACGGACAGAGCTCAGTGACCTCAATCTGTGCAAAGGTACAGAGACCAGAGCTCCATCAGGGTGTACTAACATCACCGTGTGTGCTGCCCCATAAACTGTGCACATGTAAAAAAAGGAGGCCACAGTGACAAGAGAAGTGCCTGAGGCTGCTGGCATGTTCACGTACAGCCTGGAACTTGAGGGCTTTGTCTGTGGTGTGGAGGTTCATGGGACATCATGAATACGGGACATCAGTGCTTTCTGGTCCTCTCTGGTGCTCAAGACCCAAATGGTCCCTGTTCACCAGGGCAGCAGAGGAAGGAAGAGTGCAAGATACAGGAGGACAGGGCACCTGTGGCTGCTTGAGTCCACAGACAGCTGTCCCCTCGGCCAGGAGCCTCTAAGAACCACCTGGTACCAACTACTGTCACTGAACATTTTAATCAAAGATTCCATAGAGAAATCCTGATCAAAAAGGGGCAGAGATCTCAAATCTCTCACTAAAATGCACATCCTGTGGAAATTAACACATTAGCAACATATGCCGTCTGAGAAAATGAGTGGAGCGAGGAGCCCTGAGCACACAGGGTAATGGAACAGCCATCTCCTGTGGGTACCATGTGGAAAAAGTACCTTGGGATGCACTGTCGAAGGACTTGATGAGGGTCTTGACAGTGGGGGTGGGCTCCGAGGACGTCGAGGACCTCCGACTCAGCCCCATCCCCTGCCGTAGGGCAGCCAGATCTCTCTCAACTGCATTCATGTAGTTATACACCCGGCCTCGTTCCTCCTCCTGCCTGGAAAAGACACGGTGATCAGAACATGCACGCACACATGCGAGTCAAGACAACCAGGTCTCTCATCTAACCACAAAGCATGAGCAAGTATCTGCTGAAAATACAAGACAGCAGGATCAGTGGGGCTGGACACAGAACCTAGCCTAAGGCTTGCATATGCTTGGCACATTGTAGAAAAGAAATTTATATCTTTATATTTTGTTATCCTAAGTAGGTTAAGTAGCCATCAAATCTCATTTCCATGGGTTAGCATGAGGCGATGACATGTGCCATCAATTAGCACTGGAACAGGAGCTGCCTGGCCAAAGATACTGACTCCAATGGGGTGCCTCAGCCCAGGGTGGCTGTCCTGGAGCACCTGGGAGTCGGGTAGTTGTCACGGGGCGTCTGGGTCCCAGGTGGCCGTCATGGGGCACCTGGTGTCAGGGGGCCATCATGGGGGTCCAGGGTGGCTGTCATGGGGTATCTGCAACCTGGTTGGTGGAGAGGCAGCTGTCCCACAGGTCCGTGACTCGGCTGCACACATACATGTCTGTACCTCATCTGTGGAAGCACGCGTGTACATGTGGCCATGTAAAGCCAGAAAATCAAAGTGCACACCATGAAAAAGCAAAGCAATGAAACTGCTGTAGTTTCCAAACAGAATTTCCACAAAGAACAAAAAAAGCAGAGACTCTGATTAGTAACGTGACTCCCAGATACCCTTTGGCATGACAGATCAAGAGTCATCTGAAAAATCAACTCCATCTCCTGTATGAAGAACTGATGACACACCAGCTCTGGGGTACAGCAAGATTCCAGCTGCAGATGGTGTATGTCCTGCAACTCAAAGGAAGTCCCAGGCGGCCAGTTCTAAGGACACGGTCCTGGGGCTGGTGGCCTCCGCAGCAGGTGGGGGCCTCAAGCCTCATCAAACTAATCAATCAGAGGTCTCAGTAAAAAGTCAACAAGAGCAAACGTCCAAACTTCTGGTGTTAGGGCCCCTTTACCCCTTAGAGACTGGTCAGGGCCCTCAATTTTAAGTGAGAAATCAAATGAAAAACATACCTAAAATATTTCACTCGTTAGTAAGCCAGGACTTACTACAAATGGCATCTGCTTATGAAAAATTATTGTATTTTTCAAAACAAAAATTTAGTAAAAAGAACAGCAACATGTAACATTCTTGCAAACTTCTTTCACGTATGTCCTCCCAGAGGACAGTGGGATTTTCAGGCTTGCTCCAGCACCCAGGCTGCTATATGAAGATCAAGCCTTAGCCAGACACGCATGGGAAAGAAAGGCTATTTTCATAGTCTGTTCAGATAAGCACAGTTTTTGTTAGGGTGTTTTTTTACATTACACAAAACACCAACAGTGGCATCTGGACCTCCCTACCCACTTCTATCAAGGAACTTCTGACCTGCCCATTAAAATCTACTGGTCAGTCTTACATTCTGAATGGCTCTTTACACACTTTTGTGACCTCATCTCTAGTCACACATTGGGAATACAGGTTTTATACAAATAGAGAAAGAACCACCATCTCTCTCACTCCATGACCTCCACAAGAAGTAGCAAGGTGGTTCAGCAATCATTGATCCTGGGTCCCACACGGGACAGGAGGAGAACTCTCATATGTGTTAAATGTCCTTGTCAAAGTCTTGGGAATTACTCCAAGCACACGCATCACTGCCACACGCACAGACGGCTCTCATGCTGAGCTCTGCCATGTGGTAACACCATCTCTTCAACAATGTCTACACGTTTCCGATGGTCAAGTCGGATGGGAAAGGACTACTCTGGCCATGCACAGGAATAAGTGCAGCCAGAGCAAGCCTTAGCAAGGGGTGGGAGGCCCTGTGTGTCTCTAACCTTGTCTCCCAGCACCATACACATTGCCGGCATGGCCTCGCTTGGTCCTCCCCTCACTTGGTCCTCGTACCCATGAGAAAACTTGTGCTTCAGGAATGTGAGGGCCCAGGCAGCATCACTCAGCTCTCAAGTGGCAGAGCCAGGATGGGTCAAGTCTGTCCCTGAATCCCCATCCCACACATGAGGCTGTACCTGAACAGTGAGCAGCAGGTAGGTCTATTCACTGGCCACAACAGGGACCCTGAAGGTACCATTCCAGTGGTGCTGCCTCACAGGGACCAGACAACATGCCGGAGAGTCACTGGCCTTCTACTAGATTCAGGTTTAATTAAACCAACCTCCACTTCATTGCAGGACCCCACACCCCAAAGATGAGCTCTCCTCACAGCACCACTGTATCTCAGAACCCCATACTCCAAAGCTGGGCTCCCCCCACATCACCCCACTGACTCCCAGAACCCCATACTCCAAAGCCGGGCTCCCCCACATCATCACTAGCTCCCAGAACCCCACACCCCAAAGCCAGGCTCCATCAACAGCCCCTCGCTGGCTCCTTGGCATGTACTTGCGTGACTTGATCTCCTCCAGCTCTTTGGTGAGCTTCTCGTTTTTCTCTTGAGTCTCATGGAGCCGGCGCTTCAGGTCGCCGATCTCCTCCTGGGCTTCAGACTTAATGTCATTGGCGATGACGACAGCAGTCTGCAGATCAGCCTGGAACTGCCGCCACTCTGCAGACTCTTCCTGTGGAAAAGGAATTCTCACTCCACAGAGCACAAGCAAAGTGGCGTTGAAAGCAGGCCATATGTTTAGGACTAGGCTTCTGTGAGGACTGTACTCCACAAACTATCTCATCTAATTCCACAGCACTGTCATTATATCACCCACTGACGACCCAGTGCTTAATGAAGGAGCCGTAGTGGTGCTGTTTGAGATGCTCAGCTGCTAAGTGTAAGGTCAGCAGTTCAAACCCACCATTCACTCACCATCAGATTCCAGAGATTCCTGACGTGGAAACCCTATGGGACAGTGCTACTGTGTCCTATGGGCTCAGTACAAGTTGACTGGATTCTATGGAAGTGGTTTTGGGTTCTAGTTTACTCCTGACGAGAGGAAGGGTTTCCAGCTGGCCGGCCACCAAGGCACCAGGCACTGTGTTCAGTAACTGGTGATGACAGCAGGATCCACCTCCCCTCCTCATGTAACTGCAAAGTGAGTCTTCTGAAATCAAACTCATTGTGCAAAATTCACAAAGCTTTACCTTCCAGAAGACTCAGCAAGATACACAAATGGTATGTGAATTCCACTGAAAGGATTCACAGTGAGAAACTATAAATAATCTACATCAGAAAGGGCGGGAAAAAAACCCCAAGTAAGGAAAAGGAAGAAGCAACAGAAGATAAACATCACCAGATCCAGTGGGCCCACGTGGGCAAGGTAGTAAGGGCGGTGAACTGTGGCATTCTCAGGGGGCAGGCAGGCAGCGGAGGGGCCACTAGCTGGTACAGCATGGGCAGGAGGCCAAGGGGCTGCATGAGGTACCCTCCTCAGAGGGCACGTGGGCAGTGGAGCAGCCACCAGCCGGGACAATGTGGGCAGGGGGTGAGGGCAGCGTGTGGCGGCCTTTTTGGAGGGCATGTGGACAGTGGAGCAGCCTCCAGCCAGCCAGCCATGGTGAGCACCTGGACAGCACTGCCCTGGCAAGACCGAGAGAGATGCTTGTTTCAAGGGCTAACCAATATGAGTGACATAGCACGGGATCATGTCAGTTAACTGCCATCCAACAGAACCTTGTGGGTGGGGAGGAGGTGTGCTGGCCCTTGCCTACTGGCTGTGGGGCACCCCTGAGCAGCGCCCTACCCGCAGTCTCTCCCCAGCTCTGGGGATCCCTGAGTAGCCCCATACCCCAAAACTCTCCATCATCCCCCTCAGCTCTGGGAGACTCCCAAGCAGCACCCTACCCACAGTTTACCCCACCTTACCCCCCGCTTCTGAGGAACCCCCAAGCAGCCCCCTATATTCAGTCTTCCCCATGCCCTTCAGCTCTGGGGGGACCCCTGAGCAATCCCTATGCACAGTTTCCCTAACCGCTGACTCTGGGACACCCTCAAGAAATGCCCTACCCACAGTCTGCCCCCAGCTCTGAGGGACCCCCAAGCAGCACCCTACCCGCAGTCTCTCCCTTGTTCTTGACTCTGGGGGAACCCTGAGCAGCACCCTATGCACAGTCTCTCCCTCCCAGCTCTAGGGGACATCCGAGCAGCGCCCTACCCGCAGTCTCCTGTGTAGCGTCTTGATCTCTCTCTCCATGTCGTGCTTCTGATCCTGGAGCTTTTTGACTGTATCTGAAAAGACCACAGATGATGATACATTAACTGCTGAACTGTGTTCAAAAGGACCACTGTACCAGGACAGACACACAAATGACATTCACAGACAAGAGATGATTAGCTCCCGTCATTACTCAGCATCGCATCTGAAGAAAGCCCTAAGTAAGGAAAGAGTTGTAGCCAATCCTAGATCAAACCTGCTTTAAAGTGAATAAACCCAGTTGTTAGGAACACATACACTGCTGCCTAACCTGTCAAGAGTAATGGGCTACTAAGGTCTACAGGGCTGCGTGGAGTCAGACTCGACCCAAAGGCATCCAACACCCACCACTCAGCCATTAACACAGGTGTTTGTAACCCAAGACCTTTATGCCAACGCCATTTACACACTGGAGTGGATTCCACAGATGCAGCAAATTAGTACAATTATCACAATTTTACACATTTTGTTTCTTCAGTATTTTTTACAAAATAAAGAACTTGTCTATAAAATAAAGCCACTGCTTCCCAGTCGTTTGTGTCCCCAGCAGCCTAGGGGACAGATGGTCAGCCTGCCCAGGAGCAGCTGGTGGGGTCACTCCCCAGGCCTTTTGGACAGCACTCGAGCATTTCACCACTGTGTCACCATGGGTCCTCCAACTTCTCCTGCACATGAACTCTCCTTTCAGGACAAGGAGACACAGAAAAGCCGGGCCCCCAGGATCCAGGTTGACATGGGAAAGCCAGCTCATGGGGGGGCAACACCTCCCCCTTTCTGAAAGGCATGTGTGGGGGCACCATACCCTGGCCACAACCCACCACCCATAGTAAAACAGCAGTCACTCCCTTGCCCAACACTGCCATCAAGTCAATTCCAGCCCAGAGCAATCTCATCAGGACCTGAGGCTGCAAACCACCGAGGAGAGAGCCCCTCTACTCCGTAAAGAAGGGTAGGTGGATCCGAACCACCAGCCTAAAGCCTGGCAGCCCAACACATTGTGCACCACCCACCAGGTTCCCACACTCCAGAAAAAGCTCGCAACTCTCCTGCCCCAGCCCACAGACCCACAGGGTCCCTGTGCGCTCCCAGGACGTGAGCTCGCTCTCTCGCATTCACTCTCTTTCTCTCACACACACAGACAGACACAAACACTCATCTCTGCTGACACCTTGGGTATCAGGGTCTGGGGTGATCTGAGCCTTGGGGAGGGGGCCCTCGGGGGTTAGGTAGGGTGTGGGGGGTTCAGGGCCTGGGGATGCAGCCTCATGTCTGCACAGCCACAGCCTGGCCCACAGGAGGCACTGAAATGGAGTAACCATGCCCTCTGGCAGAAATAAGTATAGCTGGAGTGGATTTGGCCCTGATTCATGGCAACTCTAAGTACAACAGAATGGTTCCTGTCCAGTCCAACATCACCCAGCGGTCAGCAGTGGAATGACTGCTGTCCACACCATCCATTCCCATGGTCAGAACTGTTGTTTGAGGAGAGGTCACACACAGGCAGATTGTGCTGGGGTGCTCACCCCTCTGTTTTCACAGTGTGGGCACTGCCATCTGCTGTCTGCTCAGTGGAAATGCTACCTTCCACCAAGCACAGAACAAGGACAGGGCTGCTACTTTATTCGATGCTGAGTCAGGGAATCCTCCCTGTGGCTCACAGGAGGGCACTGTCCATTTTCTCCCCCAGAGCCACTGGTATACTGGGACCACTGACCTCACAGTTAGGAGGTCAGCAGGGCTCAACTGCTTGCACATTACTCTCCCCCTGCAGTCAGGTGAGGTATTGTTCTTGGGCTCTGTGATCATGCCAGCAGAGGTCTGGTCTTCTCATTCTGAGGGACCGGGCACTCCTGGTGCACGAGCGCTGGCCCTGTCCCTGGCCCACAAGCATGTGGGTGAAGGTTCCCTGACAGGTGCCCAGGGTCACCCAGGACTTGGGGACCTAAACAACAAGTGCTCCTAGCAACCTTTCCCATCGGAATCCTGGAAACCATCATGGGCAAACAAGGCCAAAGGGCAGCCAGCCTGTGTCCCCTGAACATGTACTATTCACAGACCACCAGGGTGTTCCGAAAGAAGGGGAGTGGAGGCCCTCCTGCTGGGATCACGTTTGGGAATTCCTTGGGGGAAAGGGTGATGGGGAGCCCACGAGCCTTCATCCCCCCTCCCTAAAGAAGATCCATAATCCTATTCTGGAGTCTGGAGGTCACATACACTTGATGTCATAAAGTTAGGAAACAAAGAGACAAGGACCCCACTGTTCACACTTGGGGTACATCCTTCCAGACTTATGTCCACTTTTCAAAGGTTAGCGGGTCAGATGATTTAAGCTCTGTGAAATTCTGTCCAGGCGGCAGTGGATTATGGTGACCATAACCAATGAGTATAAGCCTGGGGCACCACACAAGACATGAGGCAGCCATCATGACAGGTCTGGGTTTATTTTAGCATCCAGCCATCAGTGAAGTCCCAGGTTTACATTAGCATCCTCTCCCATCAGTGAAATCTCAGGTTTACTAAAGCATCCACCCATCAGTGATGTTCCAGGTTCACTAAAGCGTCTGCCCATCAGTGAGGTCCCAGGTTTCATCGTCTCTCATCAGTGATTTTCCAGGTTCAAGACAACATCCTCTCCCATCAGTGATGTCCCAGGTTCATGGCAGCATCCTCTCCCATCAGTGAAGTCCCACCCAGGTTTACAGCATACACCCTCTCCCATCAATGAAGTCCCAGGTTCACTGCAGTATCTTCCCTTTGGTGAAGTTTGGGAGTGTGGGAGGCAGCATCCACTGTAAAGTACACAGTTAACCCAGTGGCCACGCTCCCTGAGAGAAGCTCCTGCTACTACGGTGCACTGCAACCACCAAGCCCGATGGGTACACACAACCACCAGCTGGATCTGACCCAATGGCAGTGGGCTGCATTTGGGTCTGAGCATGATGTTCTTTTCAGAACTGTCCTAGACACACAGACAGATGGACAGACGGACATGGGCAACACACTGGCAGGGACCATATGCATCTGGGCTGACAGCAGCTGGCATGAACCTCTCTATGTGCTGCACATAGATCCAGGAGGCAGAGCGCTACGTCAGTAATATGACGTCAGTCCCAACACTGTCAGGAAGAGAGTCACCACTTGGGCCTCACCACAGCCATGGGGACACCAAGGCCAGCTGGCACAACCTGTCCACAGAGACAACGTCCACCCTCTTCCCTGTAACAGAAACAGCCCAAGGTGCAAGGCCCTGTCTGGGGAACAGAGTGCAGAAAATAAAGACAAGTGAAAACAATGAGTCCACACACTCAAGCACCATTCAACACGACATCATGACCCTAGAAAGGGAGGACCAGATGGCACCCAGCTACCACTCTGCAAGGACCACAGGGAGGTCAGGGACAGAAAAACAACACTAATAATCACAATGACGACCAGGCGCTCTGGACTGATGGAAGAGGTGAGCAAAGGGTAGGGCCACAGACTGCCCTCTCATCCTTCATGTGACTCATCCCTGTTACATAACTTTCAACAGAATCAAACAGGATGACAACACTTGGGGGTGGGGGAGTCAGTCATTAGAATACATATCACAGCATCAGGAGGACAGGACATGAACCAGGACTGACTGAACAAACAGTAACACTGGGAGGAGTCAGCACTTGGAACATGGATCACAAGATCCGGAGGACAGGACATGTACAGGACAGAGTGAACAGTAACATGGGGAAGATTCAGCACCTAGAACACGGATCACAGACCAGGACAGGACATCAACAAGGACAGAGTGAACAGTAAACATGGGGAGGACTGAGAACTTAGAAGAGTTGCCTGACCTGGTCCTCCCACAGCATCAACAGCTACATGAGCCTCAGCCCGGGAGCTACCTAAGAGCAATGCAACCTCAGCAGGGAAAGATCACATGGGAGCAGCAGGATTTGCTGACTTAGCCCAAGGTCACTGGAGGATGAGCAGTTGTCGTTTGGACTGAAGCGCTGAGATTTGGTCTGATATGGGACTGCTGCAAGTTTATCTGTATGTATCTGACTTGGGACTATTGCTCCATGGGACGTTCACCCAAGCTTGCTGGAGGTCTGAGGGGCTGTATGGTCATTGTACAGTGTTGCCTTTCTGTATAGTTTGTTAACACTGTGTGGACTGAGGGACTATTTGGTTATGGGTTGTTCACTGCGGCTTGTTTCCATCCTGAGTTGTGGCCCACTGACTTCTCTAATAAACCCCACAATCAGACCACATAATTGTGAGTATGGTTCCGCAGAATTTCAGAGACAGCTAGTTACAAGTAAAACTGGTGTTAGAATTGGTGGCTATGGGTGCAGGAGCATGGGAGACCACGTCTGACCTTGTAGCTATCAGTTGCTACTGTGGATGTTGTTGATGGGGACAGTTCCCAGCTGTGGAGTCAGCAGAGGTCAGACTCAGCCACCCCCATTTGCATTTGCTGCTTGTACGGAGATTCTTTAGAAGGTGTGTACTAAAACATGGAGGAGTTGTGCTATGACACCTACTGTGCACACAAGATAAATACTGCACAATGTCAACAATGAACAATCCAGGATGTGAGGAAGTCCAGAAATGTCTGCAGAAAACCAACAAGACTGGAGGCCTGTACTGATGATACTTAAAGACAACTCTGACCACTTGACCAATGGCCCACAATGTGAGACATGGAGAAAGACTGAAGCGACCAAAGATTTCATTTCACTAGGACCCCACTAGACATTTATGGAAGCAGCAGTCAAGAAATCAGACGACATCCTGTACAGGGCCAATCTGTTGTCAAAGTTCTTGTTAACATGCAAAAGAGCAAGGATGACAATTAAAGAGTAAGGTGCTCCGTACTCAAATCATGGCATTTTTAATTGCTTCATTCACACGACAAAGTTATCCAACAAAATAAGAAGACAAAAAAACAAAAACAAAAAACAACCAGCTGCCTGTGAACTGTGGTGTTGACGAAGAACATGAAATTTATCACAGACGGCCAAAAGAGCTAGCAAGCTGTCTGGAAAACTGTATGTGCACTGTTCATGAGAGGCTGCATCTCACACAGGGGACATGTTGTTGGGAGGGCCCAGGAAGGAACGTGGTTTAGGGAAAGTGGATCACACAGCAGCCATGGTGGTTCCCAGATGAGCGGGGATTCACTGTGGTGCAGGGGTTCTGACTTGGACAAGATCAATGGTACCTAATAGGGCAATATTCACATTATCCGTTCACTATTTTTTTTTCTTTAATTTTTTTATTATTATACTAGTCACTGTTTTTCAGAACAGATTCTTCCAATTTCCCTCACCCCCCCATCAAACTGTACTATTTCTTGATATTTCATATTTCCTTTTAAAAAAATTATAAAGAGGAACCATATGGCTAAAAGGATAATTATTCATTATTTCATCCATTTTGTAATTAAAACCTACATGATGTGAACATAATTTTCATCTTGGCAATAATTTGTAGGATTTTGGCCAGAACTCAGTCATGTAACAGCTTTCCAGATACCAGCTCAGTCACCACAAGGTGTCTCCCTTTCACAGTCACAGCTCCTGCTACTGTTGGCAACCCAGCTGTGCCCGCATGGAATCCGTCCATGATGGCCACGCTTGTCAGAGCAGACCTCGTCCACAGGGTCCTCACTGGCTGAGACCATCAAGCTGACTGCACGTGACCCTATGAACAACCAATCTGGCCTGTGCCGTCATTCTCTCTGACACACTCGAGCTCACTGTTACAGTCACCGTGTCGATCCACCTCGTTGAGGGTCTTCTGCTCTTTCTCTCATCTTTTATCTTTCCAAGCGTGATTTCCCTTTCCAAGAAATAACCTTTACTGACAGCATGCCCAAAATACGTGGGATGATATTTCACCATCCTTATCTCTAAGGATAACCCAGGTTGCAATTACTTCAAAATAGATTTGGTTTTTCTTCTTTTGGCAGTCCATGGAATATTCAATATTCTTCCCCAACACAATTCAAAAGTGTCTATTCTTCAGTCTCCCTTTTTCTTTGTCCCACTTTCAGACGCATAAGAAGCAACTGAAAATGTCATGGCTTGCATCAGGTGCAGCTTTGTCTTCAAGCAGACATCTCTGCTCTTTAGATAGATCTCCCCAATGCAGTACTGTCTTCTGATTTCTTGTCTGCTGCTATCATCAGTGTTGACTATCAATCCAAATAAGATGAAATCACTGACAACTTCAATCCTTCCTCCATCTATCATGATGCTACCTATTGGTCTAGTAATGAGGACTTGTTGTTTTCTTGATGTTAAGATGTAATCCACATTTAAAGCTGTAGTCTTTGATCTTCTGTAGCAAGTGCTTCAAGTCTTCCTCATTTTGAGCAAGCAAGGTTGTGCCTTCTGAATAATGCAGGTTGTTTATGAGTCTTCCTCCAATCTTGAAGCCACATTCTTCTTACAGTCCAGCTGCTTGAATGATTGGTTCGCATTGAATAGATATGGAGAAAGGCTCCAGGCCCGGGGCATACCTTTCCTGATTTTAAATCCTGCAGTGTTCCCTTGCTCTGTGTTGGACAAAAGCTTCTCAGTCTATGTGCAGGTTTGCATGAGCCAAATTAAGTGTTCTGAGTCTCCCTTTCTTCTCAATGTCAGCCATATATTGTCAAAAAGTTGGAGTTTCTGTTTCACCAGGCTTTCCCAGAAGAGACAGAAGGGTCATTTCATTTTATAAAGATGGGATAACCCAATTTCTTGGATGAAGGACACGAAGAATTTTAACTGGAAATCATTTTAAATTTAGCAAAAAGTTAACATAATTATTCATTTATTTTTTTTTATTCAGGTCAGCCTATCTTGACAGTTTATCACTGTCTCTAGCTCCAAAGTCCGAGTCGGTCCCCAGAGGCTATACACTGCATGGGAGAAGGCTTCCCATCTGTCCTGGGAGCTGCTGGTAGATGTGAACCACCAGCAAGGTTAACAACTTTGGGTTAACAGCACATGTCCCTATGGACTACCCAGCAGAGCTCGCAGGCCCTGGCTGGCCAGACATCATTTTTCTTCTCGTCTGTCTGAGGGTATGGATTAGCCCGTGGTCCCTAAGAATACTAATGGCTCTTGTGTGAGCACAGTACTGCTGTCAAGTTCACAAACGCACCCTGATGTGATTCTTTATCTAATCTACCATCCATTTGCCTGCTTTCTTGCAAATCCACAGTGCCTCCCTGCAGTGCCAGGCTCAGTCCAGACACAAATGTCACGTTCAACTGGCACGAGTCCTGATCTTGTGTTAACAGGGAGCTTGGTATTTCTAACACATGTGCATGCCTACACCTGATCTTCTAAGGCAGAACAGGCATCTCTTATTGGATTTCTCTCTGTGATTAAACTCTGGTTCCATTCTAGCCGGACAACGGCCTGGCTGTCCCTCTGTGGTCAGTCAGAGCTGGCCTGGCTTCCCCACTGCCGAGTTGCTGTTTCACCTCACGTGCAACTAACTAATCAGTCATCTGGGAAAAGACATTTAAGACAGCACAAATATCCCACTCCTTATCAAAATGTCTACCAATTCTTGTACTATTTTTGCAAGTCCAAATTAATTACAGAATAAAAGCTTTTTAAAGTTCCTTCTGAGGTTTTTTTAGTGTAAAAAGAACTTAAAATGCTTAAGCATTCTGGGCCTCTGACAGGGGAGGAATCCTCCAAACACTGTTGGTGCACACCCTTTAGTGTTCAGAGAATGTGGGTCCCTTTTACCGGGATTTCCAAGAACACTGTCCTGGGGCACCCTGAGCCCTGAAAGCAAAACTCACCCCAAAAGTCAGCTTTGAATTTAATCACTCACTCATTAAGCTTTTTTAAAATACAACACACCACTGAGAAGTACATTTAAAAGAAATTTTCTCTATGAGACCAACTACACAATATTTTTTCTACAGCCGGGGTGCAGAGCCGGAAAGGAGAAGGCAAGAACACCAATGGGAGAAGCTGAACACAAGGAGGACTCAGCCAGCGCCATTGAGGACCACACACAAAGTGTCAGCTGGAAGAATGCACTAGCTATGTTTTCATAAAAAACACACAAGTACAATCAAACAAACCAAAACCCTACATTTCTTGAAAATGTAAAACAAAATAAAATTTTAAAACCCTAAGGTTAGAATTTGAACACCACCAGATCAAAAAATTCAAGGGTGGAGAGAAAACTCAAATAAGCCAAAGCCTGAGCTTTAGTGTGGAGGGTGGTCAGGGCCAGAACCTGGGCCTCAACATGGCTGATGGTTATAAGGACAAGAAGTTCTTGAGAGCCCAGGAGAGGGCTGGGAGCAATACGAAAGCAATGAAGGTGTCAACGGAGCAATAAGTGTGTCAACGGAGCACTAAGAAAGCCAAAGAAGCACTAACGGCACTGAAAGGGCAACGAGGGAGCTAAGGCAGCAGAGTGTTGAGAGCACTCAGGGAGCACAAAAAGCTCTGAGGAATCACAAATAGCACTGAGCGTGCTCTGAGGGAGCACAGAACACACTGAGGAAGTGCAGAGGAAGCACGGAGAGAGCTGAGGCAATGTTGAGGGAGCACAAAGAGAGCTAATGGAGTACTAAGAGCACTGAAGCAACACCGAGGGAGCATGGACAGTGCCAGGAGATCATAGAGAGCACAGAGAGCCCCAAAGGATCACAGACAGCACTGAGGAAGTGCTGAAGGAGCATGGAGAGTGCCAGGGGTGCACAGAGAGCTCTGAGGGAGCATGGAGAGCACTGAAGAGGCATGGAGAGCATAAAGAGCACTGAGGGAGCACCGAGGAAGCAAGAAAAATCCCAAGGGAGTATGGAGTAGCACCACAGGAGCATAGAGAGCACTGAGGGCACACCAAAGGAGCACAGAGGGCGCATGCAGAGAGCTGAGGGAGTGTGAAGAGTACCAAGAGCACCAAGGGAGCACAAAGAACACTGAGGGGGTGCCAAGGGAGCATGGAGAGCGCTCAGGAAGCACAAAGAGTGCCAAAGGAGCACAGAGAACACCAAGGGAACACAGCACCAAGGGAGCATTGAGGAAGTACTGAGGGAGCACAGAGCACAGAGTGAATAGTGAGAGCACGGACAGTGCCAAGAGCACCAAGGGAGCACTAAGGGAGCATGGAGAGCACCAAGGGAGCACCAAGGGAGCAGAGTACTGAGGAATTGCTGAGGGAGTACTAAGAGCACCAAGGGAGCAGTGAGCATGTCACAGAAGTGCCAGGGGAGTGAAGGGGGTGCACTAAGGAGGCACTGCGGGCACCGGGGGAGCACCTTCAGCACCAAGGGCATTACATGTGTCCCAGATGGCTGGCACAGAGTGCTTTTCCTAACTGCAGTTCTGCCCCAGGATTAGGACACCACAGTCCCAGCCACAGGACAGACACATGAACTAGACGCATGCCTCGGCCAGCTGGCTGCGTGCCTGTATGGGATTCCCCTCCTGTGATGAAGACATTTCCTTCAGGCAACCTGCTTGGACAGAAGGAAGGAGACAGTGCCAGCACTCACTCTCGAGGTCAGAAATGATGAGGTTGTCATGCAGCTTCACAGCCCGGTGCTGTTCCACCTCGTCCTCGAGCTCAAAGATGGTTTCCTTCATGTCACTCCTCTCAGTCTCCTTCTCCTCCAGCTCTGCTCGTAACTTCTCCAAGGTCAGGTTCAGGTCCTCCATCTGCTTCTTAGCCTCTTCTTGGAAGGCCCGATACTCATCTTCCACCTACAGAACATGGACAGGTCTGTTAGAGAAGTGAAACCAATCCTGCAACCAAACCTGGCTGGAACGCACACTTTGTCAGACAACGGCTAAGTGTGAGTGACTACGCAGAAGCTGAACCAGCCAGGATTAGCTGTAAGGAGCTGTGAAAAAGCTCTGTATCTCTCTAACTTAGGACTTCAGACCGCAACCCAACATACCAAATGCCATTGCATCACAAACTCCACTGACCTACAAGTGAAATTCATGAGATGACTTCATGAGCAAATTCTGGAAATTTTTCCCTTCTCCAGAGTTTGGGCTGAAAGCATGCACTGTAGTTAATGACTAACATGCTCACCTACAAAAGACATCTGAGTTGTGGCTGTCTCAACATTAAATTAGAAATGAAACCAAACAAGTTCTCAAATACTTCCTTTGTCCAAGTATTAGTTCATAGTGTCCACCCCCCCAAGACAAGACAGACAGAAGACACACAAGCCTGTCTTCCAAGTGAAGCACAATAAACAGAATCTCTAATTACTAAAAAAAAAAAATTAAGGTCTAGTTTATTCCAATTTAGTCATAGAGACACCAAGAGGACTCACTCTATACCACTGCACCAAACAGCAATAACTACAAGGTGACCAGTAGCATTGGTAAATCATGTGGACATGGGCACAGAGCCCTGGCATGCAGCTCAGGGTCCTGTCAGGGATGCGGAGTGTGTGACACGGACTGGACCTCCATCAGGACTGAGGACATGCTCCCATCAACAGGAGCCTGGAAATGCCAAAAATGATGGTCACTCATGACAGAACCCAACGTGAAAAACTACCACTGTGACAAGCATTAGGGGCAACATGAGGAGGCACACACTGTGCTGACTCTCTGGCCTGGAGGCCTGGACCAGAAGGCACTGAGGACCAAGACAGAAAATCTTTGGTCTACTCCCAGGGCCAGGGGCACATGTCCATGGCGATGGTAACTCCAGCCTCATCTTCTCACAGACCAGAAACAGCAGTGAAAACAACAGTGATGTTACCATAAGTGACAGCCCTTCTGGCCCTCAGTGTACCTTGGCAATGGTGTCCTGCAGGCGGTTGGCCTCATTCCTCGTGTGAGCCAGGTCCTCCTGCAGGCTGCCAGCCAGGGCCTCTGCCTTCTCCTTGTCCAGCCGCACGCTCTCTAGGAGGTCCTGGATGTCTGATTTGTCCCCGGAGTTGTGGATGGAGTACAGCTCTGCCACCTTCTGCTTCTCGTTCTCCAGCTGGGCCTTGAGGCGGTTCATCTCCATCTGGTCGCTGGCCACGGTGGCCTTATACTCTTCCAGTGTGGTGGCCAAGGCAGCCTTGCCCTTCTGCTCGGCCTCGATCAGCCGCTCCATGTGGTGGTTACGCTCCTTCAGGGCCCCAATCATCTCCTGGGCCTCCTTGTTGTCCTGCTCGGCCATCTTCAGCGTGTTGCTCAGGTGCTGCTGTACGCCCAGTAGCTGCTCACGCTCAAAACGGGCATTCTCAGCTAGGTCCACATAGCGCTGCTCCAGCTCCAGGTAGCGGCCGCTCTTGACATCCTCCTCCACGGCGTAGGCGAGGTGGTGCTCATCCAGGAGCGAGCGGAAGTACTCCACCTGGCGGCTCAAGTGCTCCAGCTTGTCGCTCTGCTGGCACAGCGACTCCATGAGGATGACCTTCTCCTCGCCCAGCCGCTCATTCTCGCTGTTGAGCTCCTGGGTGATCTGCTGCAGGTCGGCCAGCTCCTGCAGCGTGGCCTGCAGCTCCTCGCTCGTGCTGTGCTGGTTCTCCTCCATCTGGTGGATGCGCTCTGTCAGGCAGGCCACCGACACCTCGCTGGCGTTGCCACTGCTGCCCTTGCGAGAGCGCTCAATGCTCGGGGCGCCCTCTGACTCAGAGGACGATGGGGCATCCAGGGCGTCGTCACTCGAGGTCAGCGGCTGGTAGACCTCGCTGCACTCACTGTCCAGGTTGTCCAGCGAGTTGCTGTGCTGGTGCTCCATGAGTGTGCTCTCATCCTGGCTCAGCAGGTCCTCCACGGAGCCGGGGGTGGAGCCCTCCACAGACGAGGTCAGGGTCCCCCCACCGTCGCTCTGGTTCCCGGGAGTGGTCTCAGGGCTCAGGGACTGGTAGCCAAAGAGTTTCTCAGAGCTGTCAAGCCGCTGCTCCAGGGAGAAGCCCAGCGCGTTCAGCCTGTCCTTGAGCATCCGGTTCTCATTCTTGAGCTGGTTGAGCTCCTCCCGGATGGCGGCGTTCTGTTCCTGTAGACGCAGCAATGTGGACTCCACATCGGTGGGTGGGTGGGTAGCCACGGCCTCCTTCTCGGACTTGTCATCACCCTCTGAGGGGTCGTCCTCGCCAAGACCCAGATGAGCTCGCATGTCTCGGAGCTCATTCCTCAGGTGCAAGATCTCCACGTCCTTGGTCTTAGCCAGCGCAAGCAGGTCCTTCACCTTGGCCTCCAGAGCAGCTCTGTCACTGATCTGGTTGTCGGACTTGGACTTGCTCATGCGGACGTCGCACTCTGCAGCCGTGCGGCTCCGGGGGCGCTTGGCCAGTCCCACGTCATGGGCACCCTGGGTTGCGGCAGGGAGTTTTTTGCTCTGGGGGATTCGGGTGCGTTCACGCAGTCTCTCCCTTGTGGAGCTGGATTCTTTGTTTCCTGTGGATGTGCTCCGCTTGGCAGAGGAGCTGGTTCCTGTAGGTTAGAGGGAAGAGGTTCAGGGCAAAGCAGAACAGCAAAAGGCACACAGTTAGGATGGTGATCTAGCAGGAGGAGGCCCAGGACGACACGCTGAGACCCCACATTCATCTTAGTTCATACAGTGGTCTACCAGGACTACATGTTAACTGAGGCCCCCGCATTCATCTTAGTTAACACGGTGGACTACCAGGACTACATGCTAACTGAGGCCCCATATTCATCTTAGTTCACATGGTGGTCTAGCAGGACTGTACGCTCACTGAGGCTCCACATTCACCTTCAGTAACACAGTGGTCTAGTGGGATGAGGCCTGGGACTCCATGCTGAGGACTCTGCATTCATCTTAGTTAACAAGGTAGTCTAGAAGGATCAGGCCCAGGACTATACACTAAAAGAAGTTACATTCTTCTTGGTTACCTGAGAACCTGGTTTCCTCAAAAACATAAGAACAGTCTACTTTTAATTATCAGTGAAAAAGGTCACACTTGTAAAAACTAAGTTTTAGAAACTCCAAATTATATTTCAATGAAGATGTTACACTTTTGAAAAGGTTCTACATGTTAAGTGAAAGCCTAAAGCTTGGGTTTGAACGGGTGGCTGAGGCAAGGGTTTCCAGAGCAAACTGGATGGGGATGGCGCAGGATCGGGGTCAGGCAGGCCCAGTTCAGGGACAGACAATGGTGGAGGAAGGGACAGTGGGTGGGCACAAAGGGAGCACAACAGAGGACCAAAGGCAGGAGTTCTCAGATCAGGGGGTGCCCTGGACAGAGAGACCTAACCACATAAACAAGAACTGCTTACCACGTCACACTCACTGCACACAAAGTAAGAGCACTTGATGGCTTAGCGTTCAGAGGCTAACTGGAGGGTTGGTGGTTCAAACACCCCAGCTTCTCCACGGTAGAACTGACTGAGATCTGGTCATTTGCTTCTGCAAACACTGTAAGCCCAGAATACCCTGCGGGGAAGTTACAGTCTGTCTCTGGAGGTCACCATCAACTACAGGGCACCTAACAACACTCACAAACAGCATTCACTTTCCAGACCTGGACATACACGCCCTTGTCACAGTCCTGAGCTGGATCATGACATTCTATGGATGGAACTATCAGAACCCCATCCACTGCTGATGGGAACCAAAACCGTCTAGCCACTGTGAAAACCAGCGTGGTGGTCCCTCAAAAATCTGGAGGTAAAGTTGTCAAATGGTCTACAAGTCTACCCAGAGGACAGCAAGTTAGGAGTCTAGGAAAAGTGATAGAGACAGACATACACACATCTGGGTTAACCGCTGCAGCATTCACAGCAGCCAAGTGAATGGGAACAGTGTGATTGCACATTAAGGATCAAACAGGTCACAACAATGAATGAATAGAAATCCAAAGCCTCTGTAAATTTTCACTGAAATTAATAACAAATTTAAATTAAAAAAAAAAGAATTAAGTTAGAGTAAGGATGGCAATGGATTTATAACTGCTCAAGCTAATAATACTATATCGTGGCATGGAGGAGGAATAGTGGAAATGTATCCACATTTACAACATTCCTCTTACCAAAACCGTTTATGGAAAATAGGTACTGCATTGGATCATGTATCTCTGGATTGGAAATGATGATATTGTTAATACTTCTAGCCTTAAGCTTAAAAGATTATAATGTTCAAACTTATTTGTTATACATTTGCTTAAATTTTTCCCTCTTTTAACAACTGGGATCTAGAGGGAAGAGAAAAGACCAGAGAACAGCCAAAATTATTGGAGCAGCTATTGCTGCCAGTTTAGGGCCTGTGTCAGGAAAAGGAAGTCTTACTCCTATACAATGCCACCCAAAGGTAATAAAGGAGGTCAGAATTGCTTTCACTGTGGAAAGCTGGGCCACTTCAGTAGACAGTGTCACAGACGAGAGCCACAGATAGGCAAGGGAGTAGAGAGGAAGCTCCTACTCACTTGCTGTAAGTGTGGCTCTGAAGGACACCTGGCCAAGGTGGCCCACATCAGGTCCTCGTGGCTGACAGGACTGACAGGCCCCAGCTCCCAGCTGGAAACAAAGGAGGACGCTTCAACGATTTAGACCCTCCCAGAAGAGCTGTGGGTGAGCATTAACGTTACTGGTAAGTATATTCATTTTCTCCTGGACACAGAGCCTACTAATTGGTCCAAAAAACCTTCTGAGGTCCCAACTCTTCTCACTATTTCTTAGTTGTTGGAATGGACGGAACACCTCATAAGCAGTTCCTTACTTTACCTCTACGTTGCATGTGAACTTCCAAGTTGTAAAACAACCCAATGGTAGATGGAATTTCCTCCAGGACTTAAGAACCATAAATGACATAGCTGAGCCTCTACATCTTGTGGTTCCTAACCTGTACACTATAACAGACAAAGTGCTAGTCTATAGACCTTTTATTGTAAGAACCACCTTCCCTCTGTAACTTGATTTGTGCCACTATTAGAACCTCTACTCGGAATATTATTGCTTTTTAATTTTTGACTCATGTACTTTTAACTTGTTAGTTAAATTTGTATCTTCTATGCTGCAACACTTCCATGATACATCTTCAAGGATATGAACATGTACGGCTAAGCACAATTGATAAAAAGTGAATCTAAATTCCAAAATCAATCTCCATAATAGTCTATGTGTTTCCTACTGCCAAAGGGGCCCTTTAGAGTAGTGAGAGAAGATCTTCACCCTGAAACCTACAGTGTCCCTTTTCAGCAGGAAGTAGCTAAGAGAATATGCCATCCCCTTTTCCTTATGAATCAGGGTGAAGTCTCTCTCAGGGAGGAGAGACAGGGAATGGCAAAGGACACACTGACAAAGGAGATTAAACAGAACTGGCTTCAACAAGCACTGTGGCAATTGGACAATTAAAACAGACATTCGGGTGAAGAAGAATGAACTGGGGAGGAGGGTAGAGAAAACAGTGCAACAATGAATGAATGAAAACCCCAAATCTCTGTAAATGTTCACTAAAACTAATAAAATTTAATAATAATAATAAAAAAAAGGCTCAAACAGGTCAGCACAACGTGGCACACAAGCACAATGGACACCACTCAGCAATGAAGAGAATTGAGTCTCCAAGCCATGGATGGATGCATGTGAAGAGTATTGCTGCTGTTGTTAGGTGCTGTCAAGTTAAGTACGATTGATTTTGTGACCCTATGAACAACAGATCTGAAACCTGTCCTATCCTGTGCCATCCTCACACTGACTGACACATCAGAACCCACTGCTGCTGTCACTGTGTCAATCCATCTTATTGAAGGTCTTCCTCCATTTTGCCAACCCTCCACCTTTCCAAGCCTTATGTCCTTCAAGCAAAATGCCTGAAGTAGGTGATCTTTCAAAGTTTGTCACCTTTGCCTCCAAAAAGCACTCTGCCTGTATCTTCTGTAAAACATGTTTGTTTGTTCTTCTGGAAGTCCATGGGATACTCAGTACACTTCTCTAACATCACACCTCAAAGGCATCAATTCTTCTGTAATCCTGATTGGCTGTCCAGCTCTCAGATGTATAGCAAGTGATCGCAAAGATCATGGCCTGAATCAGGCACACCTTAGTCCTCAAACTGACACCACTGCTCAATGACCTGAAGAGGTCCCTAATCTCATGACTGCTGGTACCAAGGATGCTGATGGTGAATCCAAGTAAGATGAAATTGGTGACGACATCAATCTTTTTTAATCTATCTTGATGTTGTTTATGGGTCTACTGGCAAGAATTTTTGTTCTCTTGATGTTGAGCAAGTACTTCAAGTCCTCTTCACTTTCAGTAAGCCAAGCAGGTCGTGTCATCTACATAATCCAGGTTGTTGTTGAGTCTTTCTCCAATCCCATGGCCACATTCTTCTTCACAGAGAGCAGCTTCTCGAATCATTTGCTCAGCATACAGATTGAACTGGTCTAGAGAGAGAATACAACCCTGATGCATGTCCTTCTTAACTTTAAACCATGTAGTGTTCTCTTGCTCTATATACACAACAGCAACTTGGTCTAGTAGGTAGGTATAGGTTTTACATGAACACAATTAACTGCTCTGGGATTCCCTTTCTTCTCAATGTTAAATTTGTTATAATCCACACAGTCAATGGACATTCTTCTGGTATTCTATACTTTCAGCCAGGATCCATCTGATATCAGCAATGATAATTCTGGTGTGATGGCCTGTGCTGTTTTGGCAATTTTTGAATGATCTCCAGCGGTATTTTGCTTGTATGTGGTATTAATGATACTGTTCCATAATTTTCACATTTGTCAGATCACAATTCTTGGCAATGGGAACAAATATGGATCTCTTCGAATCACTTGGCCAGACAGCTGTCCTCCAAATTTCCTGGCACAGACTGATGAGCACATCGAGGGCACTCTCTCTGTTAGCTAAAACATGTCAACAGATAATCCATCGATTGCTGGGGGCTTATTTTTTGCCAAAGCCTTCAGCGCAGCTTCATCCTCTTTCTTCATTAACACTGGCTCTTGTTCATATGGTACTTCCTAACATTTCATCATGTTCTGATGCTTTCTGGGTCATTCAATATATTGCCCATAGCATCCTTCACTATTGAGACTCGAAGCTTAATTTTTTTTTCTCAGCTTGAGAAATGCAGAGCAATTTCTTCCCTTTTTGTTCTCCAATTTCAGTTCTCTGCACATTCTATTGTAATACTTTGCTTTGATTCTCAAGCTGCCCTTTGAAATATTCTGTTGAGCTCTTTTACTTGGACATAGTTTTCCTTTGTTTTGGCTTCTCGATGCTCAAGTGCAATTTTCAGAGTCTCTTCCAAATCCATTTCAGTCAACCCACAAATCATCTGGTCTTCAATTACTAGTGTTCAGTGCCTCAAATTTATTCTTAAAATGTTTTTAAAATTCTGATGGAATAGAATAAAGATCGTATTTTGGTTCTCATTCTCCCCTGCCCTGGTTCTGACTGTTGATATTGAGCTTCTCCAGTAATTCATTCCACAGATGTAGTCAATGTGATACCCTATGTGTAGGGCATTACACTGATGTAAATAAACAGTCATGAGAAAATGCACAGTGTATGTATGTTGTCATATTTGTCAAATGACATGAACAAGTAGAGAAACTGACACTACTGTGAACTGATGGTTCCTGGGGACAGGTGGGAATATTCACTCCTAGTGAGTATACACTTGCTATTTTTAGTGATGGGAATGCTTTTAAAGGTAAACAATGTCACTCAAAATTAAATAAGAAAAAATATCCTGTTGGTCATTGCCATGACACATTTAACACGTTGCCGCAAACTTTTAAATTGACGACCGTGCTTAGAAACATTTTTTTAAATGTATTACCATCATTTGCTGCAACATGTTAATTTTGAAACAATAGCAAAAACAACCAAAATGTGTGTGGCTATAGGAGGAGGAGTACTGGGGAGTTATGCAGAAAGTCTGTGGGAGCTGCGCCCCAACCTGAAGACTGCACCTCCCTGGCAGTTTGAATTCACCAGTAGCTCCAAGGGACAAAAATGTGCAAACATAACCAAAAATGCATAACCAGGAGGGCATAAAGTAGATGATGGGACTTTCTAAAAATTAAATCTGTATGTGCATCAGAAGACTTCCCCAAAAGAGTGAATGAAGAACCCAAAGACAAGGGAAATAGTACTGGCCACTGATACATGTGACAAAGCAGTGACCTCAGAAACATCTAGAAAATGTGAACAAGAAAGACAATTCAACTATGAAATGGCAGAGGACATGAAAAGACACTTCACCAATCTTGACATTCCAGCGTCAAACAAAAACACAAAGACATGCCTAAGATGGTTAGCTACTGTTGTTAACTGTCGTGTTCCACAGAAATGGAACTAGCCACATCTGACCCTCCAGAGGGTTTGCAGAGAGAGTAAATCACATGGGAGGAGACTGCTTATCCTCTTTCAGAGCAGCTTGTGGATTCGAACTGTGTGCCTTTGGACTTCAGCGCAGTTTCTTAGCTGTGAATAAAGAGGGTTTCAGTAGCCCAAGCTCCCATATGGCTCAAAACTCACTGCCCATCAACATCTTTCATGCAACTTCGGTGAATTGTGACATGGCCTTTGAAAGCTTGCAAGCTATCATCTAAGTGCAACTACTGATCCCTCCCTGTCCTGGACAAAGACAAGTTGCAATGATGAGACCAAAAGATCAAGAGGCCATGTGAGCTTCAGCCTCCACACCCTGAGACCAGAGGGAACAGTGCTCAGCTAGCACTGTCCACCAAGCTAAAAGGGACCACAGCAGAAGACCCTGGACACCCTCAGGACTCTGGCCATTAGTCATCCCTAGAACTTACAACAAAACCCTCTCCTGTGACCTGTCTTCCCAGCAACCAAGAGGCCTCAAGGAGAACAGCAGCAGGGAGGCATTTGGGCCTTGGGATAACCAACCACGTGGGATCAGGGGCAGCATGCAGGGACAAAGCTGAGAAGCTAGGAAGTTGAGATAATGGGTAAAAGGATGTGAGAATTACAGAGAGGAAGAGAGAAGACTGTGGCTGCAGGGTGGGGCCTGCATTATGGTCATAAACACAGTATGTATCAAGTCAAAGGGAAAGCCATTTTGCTTTGAAAACTCCAATCACAATAAAAAGGGGAGAAAAATCAAGGGGAAAAAGTAAATACAAGGGGAAAAATACAAATCAAATTCAAAAGGAAAAAATGCCCAAGAGTTTAAAAAGACCCATGGACCTCGTGTGGATCCTGACTCTTAACAAGACCAATGTAAAGTTAAAAAGACTGAAGTAATTTATGATCAAAGGGATTAGGAAGGCCTGGAAATTGGAATAGGATGATGTTTGTAAGGACACCTTGTCTTTCTAAGAAAAAGGACACAGTTTGGAAAGGAGACCAGAGGAAAGAGTGTAGGAACCAGAGCTGAAGCCGGAGTGGACCCCAGGGCTGGATGCTGCTATGATGTCTTCTGCAGACGCAGGGTTTCCCAGCATCAGGTGGCCCCTCCTGGACACCAGTGTGTGTGCCCCTGGGCAGTGAACAGTCACTGGGTACCTGTGCCGAGCTTGACTTTGCTTTCCATGGTGCTCATGGTGGGGGCGGGTGCAAGCATGGTGGCGGATGAGCAGGGCGTCTTCTTCCCTTTCACACCATTACTCACTGCTGCCCCTCCAGCCATTCCAGCTAAGAGGTCATCACTGCTCTTGGTCTAAAAGCAAAAAGAGAAAATACAAGAAGACAAAATGACAGGATGAAGAGACTTTTAAGCGCAGTGCCTTCTGCTTTCACGGTCAGCTGAGCACCGCAGACACTGCTGCCCATTGGTGGGCAGTGCATGGTGCTGAGCTACGGGAACCGAGGCACCTTCTGGCTGAAAGTCCACCAAGGTGAGCTGAGCACTGCAGACGCTGTGGCCCATTGGCAGACAGGGAATAGTGCAGAGCTATGGGAACTCAGGCACCTTCTGGCTGGAAGTCCAGCACGTCACACAGTCAGTATACCAGGCTGTGTGCCTGCCACACACCCACCTCAGAGGGGGAGAGATGCAGATGCCATCTCCGCTACCTGCACCCTGAGCAGGAAATGCTCAAAGGCAGACACGTCTGAGGAAGGAGACAGGATGGCACCCCTGAAAATGCCACCTGGCACGTGCTGGTGAGAAATCCCACAACCAAGTGTCAGCCATGAGCATCACCGTGCTGAAGAGACTCAATGGGCGCCTCTGAGAAAAGGGGTCTGTGCTGGACCTTTCTCATCTCATCGCCCCATTCTCCAGCAGTCATGGTTAAGCCACACTGATGGCAGCTTCCTTCAAGGCCCACGTGTCACTTCTATTACACCCACTGCTGAGCTATAGACAGTGAGCCCTGTGGTCACAGTGGATCTGTGCCCCAGGCTTTGGTGGCTGTTCTGTCAAGAGCAGAACACCAGGCCTTCTTCTGAGGCCCACCAGGCAGACTCAAAGCCACCAGACTTTCGGGTAGCAGTCAAGCATGACAGTCACTGCCACAACCCAGCGTATTAAAGTCCTAGGTAATGCCTAAAACAAGAAAAACTTTAAGATGAAGATAAGGATTAGTTGGACTAAAGGATCACTCTAATTGAAAAAAAGTCCATTTAGAATACTTGTAAGGATAACTGAGAAAAACATCAGGAGCTTTTAAAAGATCATGACATCATGAAACTATTTAGAAAAACAGTAAATAATACATGACATCAACAAAATAAAGGAAAAAAAACACATGATTATCTCTCTGGATGCAGAAGAAACTAAATAAATCTAACACTCTTTCTAGATGAAAGCCCTCGAGATGAGAATGGAGCAGAAGTGCCTCAAGGTGACAGAGAGGGCAGACAAGCCAAAAGCTTGTGTAATGGAGAAAGAGTAAAAGTTTCCTCTTGGAATTGAGAAGACAAGTCTGCTCTTACCACTTCTAGTCAATGTTATATTAGATGTCCTAGCTACTGCAATAAGATAAGGAAATGTAGGTACCTAGATGGAAAACTGGAAACTTCAAGAAGTTCAAGTAGGATTTAGAAGAGGCCGTGGCACCATGAATATCACTGCTGATGTCAGATGGATCCTGGTTCAAAGCAGAGAACACCAGAAGAATGTCTATCTGTGCTTTATTGACCATGCAAAGGCATTTTTGGCTATGTGGATCACTACAAGTTGTGGCTGACGTCCAGAGGAACAGGAATCCCAGAACATTTAACTGTGCTCATGCAAAACCTTTACATGGACTAGAAGGCTGCTGTGTGAACAGAGAAGGGGAACCTTGCATGGTTTAAAATTAAGAAGGGAGTGTGTCAGCATTGTATTCTCTCTATATAACTATTCAATCTATATGCTGAGCAAATAATTGGAGAAGCTGGACTCTATGAAGAGGAATGTGGCATCAGGATCAGAGGAAGACTTAGCTATAACCTGGATTATGTAGATGACACAACCTACTTGACTTGATGAAAGTGAGGAGGATTTGAAGCACTTGTTGCAGAGGATTAAGCAAAGCAGCCTTCAATATGGACTGCATCTCAACGTCAAGAAAACAAAGATTCTTACCATTAGACTGACAGGCAATATCCCGGTGGGTGGAGAAGAGATTTAAACTGTCAACAATTTCATTTTACTTGGATCCGTAATTAACACCCTTGCTACTAGCTGTCAGGAAATGAGGAGATGTACTGCATTGGGAAAGTCTGCAGTTAGGGATCTCTCCAAATTATTGAGGAGTAATGATGTCAGTTTGAGAACTAAGGTGTGTCTGATTCAGGCCATGGTCTTTCCAATCACATGCTATGCATCTGAGAGCTATGAACAGGAAGGACAGAGAAAGAACTGATGTCTTTGAGCTGTGGTGTTGAAGAAAAGCACTGAACACCCCATGGATGGCCAAGAGAATAAATATGTCTTAGAGAGGGTGCAGCAGGAGTACTCTTTGGAGGTAAGGATGATGAGGCTTCATATACTTCAGGCATGTTGCTAGGAGGGGTTATTCCTTAGAGAGTGACATGATGGTTGGAAGGGTGGAGGGTCAACGAAGGAGAGGAAAATGCTCGACAGGTGAACTGATATAGTTCTGGAAGTGTTAAGATGGCACAAGATATAATGGGGTTCAGATCTACTGTTCATACGGTCGCTAGGAGTCATACTTGACTTGATGGCACCTAACAACAACAGAATGGAAAACAGGCAACATTATCTCTATTTATGGGTACAATTTCACACACAGAAAATTTCAAAGACTCCACAGGAAATACTCCTAGAGCTAGTACAGAAACTGAGAAAAGATTCAGGTACAAAATCAACAGCCAAAAATTTGTTGGGCTTCTACAGACCAGCAAGACAAAATCTCTAAGGAAGTTAGGGAGACAAGTTCACATACAGCAACATCTAAGAAAATAAAATTACGTTTTTAGGTGCTGTCAAGTTGACTTTAATGCAACAGCTTGAAACCATGCCCTACCCTGTGCTGTCCTCACGTCTCCACTGAGCGTAAACCCTGATGGAGTCACTCACAGATGGCTCTTTCACTCCTTCACTGGTCCTCTTTACTCTACTAACCATGATGTCTCTGGGCAGAGAATACTCCTGTCAGACAGATTCCAGCATCACAGCAAAAGGCCAAACTACCACAGTGTGACAGACAGACAGGACTTCTACAATGAAAACAGTACAAGATTATTGGAAAAGACTAAAGACAACTTAAATAAATAGAAAGAGATTCCATGTTCTTCTTGTGCTGTTGTTGTTATTAAGTGCTGTTGAGTATGAGCCACATCAACCCAATAAACAACAGATTTGAACCCTATTCTATTCTGTGCCTTCCCTTGCAATTGTCAGCTACCATTCGGCTCCAACTCTACAGTGTTTATTTTTTGTCTATTACTGGTGGGAATGAAAAATGATATGATTACTGTGGTAAAATGTCAGTTCTTAAGAAAACACAAAACAAAAAAAATTAAAAATAGGATGACGATATGACCCAGAAATTCCATTGCTAGGTACACCCACTGCCTCTGCCTCTACCTGCTTCACTTTTCAGTTTTGGTTACCCATGGTCAAACTCAGTCCAAAAATATCAAATGGAAAATTCCGGAAACAAATTATCCTTGAGTTTATGCTCTACCCTACTGTGAGTGGCTCAATGAAATCTCACACTGTCCCCTCCATCCTCTGGGGCGAGCATCAGCCCTGGGTCCAACACACCCAGAATGTCCATGCTGCCTGTCCCCGGTCCCTCCCTCACTGCCTCAGCTGTCAGGCCGACCGTCCTCATGCAGCAGAGTCTGTGTTCAGTATCCTTATTTTACTTCATAATAGTCCCACAGTTGATAAAAAGTTGTACAGTGCTTCCTTAACATGAGAAGATGGCAGGTTTTGACTAGTAAGAAAACAGTGTGTATCGGGTTGGGAACTATGTGGATTCAGGTTACCACTGGGGTCTTGGAACATATTACTGTACAAAATGAGGGGCTACTGTATATATCAAAAGGCATGAAAGAACTTGTACACCAGTATTCATCATAGCACTAAAAGGTGGAAACCATCTAAATGCTCCTCCGCAGATGAATGGGTAAACACAATGCAGTTCATACACACAATGGGCTATTTCTCAACCTGTAGAGAAATGAAGTCCCAGTACACGCTACAATACGGATGGAGGGAGCTCTGATGGCTCAATGGGAAGAACCTACACCGCCAACGCAAATGTGCACAGTTCAAGCCCACCAGCTGCTGTGTGAGAGAAAGATGGGCAATCTCCTCCTATGCAATTTCCTGCCTCTGAAAACTCCTGAAGGGTCAGTGAAATCCCACTGGAAGATACATCATAACAACAACAACAATAATAATAATATGATGTATGGAGCTTAAAGACAAATACTGTATGATGTCATTTATATAAAAAGCAAACAAACATAAAACCATTATTGTAGAATGAGTATGAGGACCCAAGGCAGGGGGAGGGTGGAAACAGAGGGATGTAGATGGGTGGGGGGATAGGCTGTTAATCATAGGGTGCACAATTCAATGGGTAGGTGGGGTGAAGGAAATGGGAAGGATCTTTTGTGGAAAACAATGTGTTCAAACTTTATAAGTAAATCAGAATAATTTTTTTTTAGAAAAGCAAACAAAAAAAGACAAATGTATAAAGACCAAAGTTGCTTCAGTGGTTCCCAGGGGTGGAGGAGGGGGAATTAAAAGGGTATTAATGGTGATGGAAAATCCAATTAATGTAATTGCCATCAATATGTTATGTATTCATAAGAAATAGAATTGGCAACAGTTATATAATAAATATGTTTACTAAAACAACAAAAAAAGACTTGCTGCTGCAGCTGCTTATGTACACAAACTGCCTCCTGGGACCTGCCCTTAGATTTGAGGTCAGGGTCCGAGTCATAAGACATTCCAGCTAGCTGGCCTATGATGCACTGAGCCTCTGATCCTTCTCATAATTCTGGGTCATTTAGTTACTGGCTTATGTCACACAGCCTAATTTGTTCTACGTTTCACCCACATTACAGTATTGCACAAATATCTGACCATTATTTGGTGGTGCATGATATCCATTGTGTGAATAAATGTACTAGTTTCTCCAGCCACTCCTCTGTTGCGGGGCACTTGGGTTATTTCCAACTCTTGGCCATTATAAACAATCCTGCAATCTACAGGGCATGTGAGTATGTCAAGCTGTGCTGCAGCTC